ATAATAACCTGAGATCTTTTACTGGGGATCATGAGTTTCAGACCGTCCCCTGTAACCATGGTTACTCACTGTCACACGTGCTCCTGTCACACAATTTGAGAGGAGAAAAGCAGCCTGATGTCACTCTGAGCAGCTGCACGATTTACACATTTGTGATCATTTCTTGTGTCTGTCTCATGCCCCGTGTCTGCTGCTACTGCAGCAGCATCCAAAAAAAGAAATAATAAAAAAGAATTCTTGAGTGAAAACAATGTGTAAAGCACACGTGAAATCACATGTTTGGTGTGTTGTGTTGATTGTTTGAAACCTGACCGAAAAAGCATGACTGATTAATAAAACCTTTAGTTTCAAATGAAATTCTATTCATTATTTGATCAGAGTAACGGATGTGCATTTTGACAGTGAGCACTTAGTTCTGTCGCTGTTTTTTGACATTTTCTGCTCTGTGAAAATATTTTTAAGGGTTGCAGGTTCTGTTGACCTAAACCTACTTTGAGTCATACATTTGAACAAGATGGAAGAGACGGAAGCAACCAAATGTTGTTCATTTCAGTTTTGGAGAAGTGCAGAAAAAAACCTCCCTAAGTTTAAAACTAGAATCAAATGAAACCCAGTGTGCCCACCACCTCTCCCAGAAGACTAAGCAAGGTGAAAGTGGGTAAAATTAGGAGCAGAAACCACTACAACGGTCGTTCTCAGACTTAGGGGCAGGCCCCACTGGTGGGTAGGAAAGTACTACATGTGGGGTGTGGACAACAAAGGGAAATATATGAAGTGAAACTAAGTTGTATAAAGACTTTATGATTTTTTTCTTAGGGCAAATACATGTACATGAGCATTAGTGGGTGGGGAGTGGACTCTTTCGGTGTCACAAAAGTCCACTACTCTGCATTTTCTGCGTAGATGTGAAAAGCTTTTACAAACAGTCTGCTAAGTAACACGACTTGTCGCAAAGCTCATCAGCAGAGTTGACAGGTTAACTCTTCTTGAAGATGACCACCAGGGGGAGGTGGAGGCTTCACTAACAGGTGGGAACAGCAGAACTGCTCTCTGAGCATGTCCTAAACCTGTGACAAGAAGACAAGCTAATCCAAATGCCAACCCATGAAATGGGAGACATTGTTTACTGGCTTTGAATGTTCAAATTTTACAACTGCAAGAAATGTTACGTCTCTCATTACTTCAGTGTGAATAAAAGTAAGCTAATACCAAAGTTGTTAAAATGAATTAGGGGACACTAAAACAAAACATAACTGTTTTTCCACCTTGGAAATATTGCCATCTTTTATTTATTGGAGATTATGTATTTCAGGAGCAGGACCACGCCTCCAAACACGCTCCTTCCGGCTGCCATCTACTGTATATAGGTTCCCCTAGTTCTGCAAGCTGATCATTCTCGTTTACACGCCCCACCCTCCCTCCCTCCTTCTTCTCCATTCTTCAGCTTCTTCACTTCTATTTAGTACATGGGGATCTGCCAGGCCCGGGAGCCATCGCCAGTCCCCTTCGAGGCCTTCCCCAAACCGCAGCTCAATTCATGTCAGAGCATTCACTTTTTCCTACTAAAACGCTGTCAAACATAAATGAGGACGTGGGCCCAGCTAGTGAAATGAAATAAAGGATGAGACAGAGATGATATTCTGATTGATGAACGTTTAATAACATTTATCTAATTTTGTAACCTACAAGATGATTTTGAAATTCTGTCCCAAATCATTAAAACGAAAGTTAGAATTCAGTAAAAGGACTAGATGTTTCATTCCCTGACAATGCATAGCTTTAAATGGAGAAAATCTTGGGGGATGGCTGTTATGAGGAAAAGCAGCCCAGAAACTTTACTAGCGGCACACATCGTTGTGTGCCTCAACTTTTGTTCTTTTACCCAAGCTAATCTGCCCTTTTTCCTTGGTTAGGTTTAGAGATTAGAGATCTGATCTAAATTATCATGTTAAAATTTGGGACACATCGTCAGTAGTGAACCTTGGATTCATAGGGTGTTTTGGCCATTATCACTAGACACCCTCATCCAAGGAGGCCCTGCCAGGGTTGATCAGGCCCCAGAGTGTGTCAATGGTTTATGTTAAAATTGTTATTTTTCTTCTTCTTTTTGCTGTTTAGTTTTCTATAGTTTATTCTATCTATTCACTGCACCTGAGAAATACTTGCCTCTTTAACATTTATGGAGCCTCATTTCTTCAAAGGGACAGAAAAGGTGATAGAGAGGAGTAAGACAAGTAAGATAAGATAGGAGAAAGCAGAGAGGAGATCTGGAAGGGGGGCGCCTGATCTGGCTTCCCACACCTCCTCGCTGGATCGGGCTGTACGCTCTACCTCCCCACTGCCTCCCAGAAAAGGGAAGAAGAGCAGAGGGGAGAAGAGCGGAACATTTTTCTTTCTTATTCTTTCATTGAGGTTTCATGTGGTTAGTTGCACAGTCCCCTGGAGGCCCCGAGACAGCTGTTTCAGTCAATCGGTAAAATTTCTAATGTTATGTTTTACCCTTTTGACGCCCCCTGTTGAGGCAGGCCCACCACCGGTCGATCAATCCTGGGCGTGTGTCTCGCAGTCAGCTGACTGCCTTAGCTGCCCAAGTGATGTCAGCCCTTTTTAGCCATAGCCAGTGACTGGTCCTCTCAGCAGTGTTAGCCAATTCTCTTATAGCTTGCCGTTGTGCCTGTTCTCTGATCCCAATCTCTCTAAGCAGTTTTGCTGTTGTACTGGCAACAAAGCCCCTGCACCCCACTTTTCGCACCTTGATCTTCCAGCCTCTGTCCTCTGCCCTCTGCCTCAGCTGCCAAGTTGGCAAAATACTGATATATGTGCGTTTATAAAGCTTGGCATCAAAGTGAGGAAACTTTACAGCTAAAAACCAATATTTCAGATTTAACTCCAGGCATTGATGGAACGGAGCGTATGTACATCTATAATGTAGCTTCTCCTTAACAGGTGAGATAATGATAGAAAAAAAAGTGTTTGGGTTTTGTTTGGTTTTTTTTTGGGGGGGGGGGGGGTAATTTTATGAAAGTCACACCAGAGGACATTATGTCACACTAAGGGACAGAAATAAGGCCCAAATATGTGTCATATTTATTTATTTAAACGTTGATAGAGAAAATCATTCTTTGCATCAACAATACATCAATCAAATGTACTGATTGCAACAAATAAACTTTTACTTATTAAATGAGGCCTAATTTTCGGAAAGAACGTTGACTCTTCGTAGGTCATGCACTCAGTCTCTTGATTACATTCACGTCTTTGAAAAATGCATTTTAATTTTACTTTAAGAAATATGCAAAACATTAATGAATATAACTTTAATGCATTAATTAAAAATGCACTTTTAGAGCTGTTATTAATTAAACAGTTAACACACTTTCCAGTTTCCTTCAGCCTTCTTTTCATGATATTTCTTTGGAAAATAGTAGACAATAGGTTAATGTCAATGTGATAAATTACCAAAGTGGATCCTAATTTGCTCTCTATCACTTCTTTATAGTCTCTTCTACTCATTTCTCCTTCAGTTGTTTCTTCTCCAAATAAGTTACGCACTCATCACACTTGTGCACTGTTTATAACCATGGCACTAATAACTTAAGTGTCATTTACACAACGCTTTGTAATTATGTTGAGAAATATACATTTTAAACATAAGGTCAACAAAACTTAATCTGTGTGAGTGTCATGGGATTCACGTGGCCCCTCAGCTACATGACCTTGAATGGGGCCCTTTAGCTAAATATAGCTGTCCAATTGGAATTACCCAACTTAAAATTGTCACACCATTGACAGACATTTCTTAATTTGTTATTTTATTTTTACAAATAATATTACATTTCCAAATTTTTAGAATTATATGTATAGAAAGAAACTATTATCTTTTACTGGAATAATTCTCTGCCTGTTATTATAACAGACAGAGCTATTGAACTATGTCTGAGACAATCACACAACGGGGCGATTGTGAGATTTGGTACAAAGTTTTTAACAATTCCAAATGAAGTCAAGTCCATTTAGAGCAAATTGTTCATTTAAATTTTCAACATTTTATGGCATTTAAAATGAGGAAAATTTGAACTACACATATTTTTGTCCTGCAAGACAGTGAAAATGCCCCGTCAAAAACCTTATGTCCGGAATAGAAACAAGATTTCAAAAAAATGCTGTCACCTCCCTTAAATAAAGTTTTAAAAAGTTTTTCCCACCCTGAAGAGAAATTGATGTTGATATTTTTGCTGTTTTGAAATTCTTCCATTGATTTCAGCTCAACATTATTAGCACGTCTCCCATCTTATAATGTCTGCTTTAAGTTTTATCAACGCTGATCTGTGTGACGGATACACAGGTGGGTGAAAGGTTCAGCAGCCTTGGTGAGCAGCATGTGATAGGCCTGTCGAAACCTGCGATTCATGACAGCATAGAGCACGGGGTTGATGGAGCTGTTGAGCCAGGTGAGGTTGGAAAAGAACATGTATAGTACCTGAGGGGCATGGTTCTGTTTGTCGGCTGTGTTCAGCAGCATAAAGGGGACATAGCAGAACACAAAGCACAGAAAAACAGTTAAGCACATCCGTGTTATGTGCTTAATTTCCTTTTCATCCACTGCAACTGTCGAGTGTGATGCCAGCATTGCATCTGTGGGAGTAGGTGGTGCAAGGTCAGCTTCAGATGTGGGCTCAGTTTTTAAGGTCTTAAGTGAACTTTGAGCAGACTGGCAGGACTTTTCACCAGCTGCCTCTATACCCTGAGCAAGTTCTGCCTGGCCGCACGTGTTTGTTATGACAGAATTTACACTACTATCGTCAGTCTCTTGAGCTGGTGTTGGTTTCCTCCTGGATGACTGTTGGCTGAACCTGTAACGGAGCAGCGCTTGTGATGCAACCAGAACATGTTTGTAAATGAGCAGGTAGAATGCACCAACACAGCTCAGGCCAACAAGAAAGCTGAAAACTAGCAAGATGGTGGTGTAAGGACGACCCCGGGTACGATGGAAGCTGCATGTGCACACCTGTGGCACAAACACATAGACAGACCAGAGTGGACCAAAGCTGACCAGGCCGAGTGCCCACGCAAAGATGATGAGTAAAGTAAGACCGTGGTTAGAAAAAACACGGTCAAACACAGCTCTCTTTGCGACCAGGAGATATCTGCCCACTGCTACCAGGCAGAGGGTAATGATGGAGACAGAGTTGGAGAGGCAGAGGAGCAGGCCAAAGACTCTGCACCACAGCTCACTGCTGCGCCACCTGAGGTGTAGATAGGAGTCGACGGAGAAGGGCTGCAGGATGGTGCAGTACAAGAGATCAGATGCAGCCAAGTTGACAATGAGCACGTTGAAGCGAGTCCTCAGATGTGGGTCAAAGGCAAAAGCCAGAACGGTCATCAGGTTCCCGACCGTACCCGTGATGGTTACAGCACATCCCAACAGCACAGCGAAGTACCGGTAGATTTCAACAGAAGGACTGTGGCAGGAGAGAAAGTCCTCGGTGTGGTTTGTTTGATTCCTCAGCATTTTGTCAACTAATATAAACAGAAGATAGGAATCAGAATATAAGTAAACAAAATCCTGTTGCCTGCCCTCACCTCAAAGATTTTCAATGTCAGCTAATCCTTGAGGTTTCAGGCAGTGCAGTGAAGTGAACAAATGTAATCATTTGGTTTTTGATGGTTAGTAAAGAAAAATAATTATGAACAATTGTAAACAAAACAGTTCAACTATCTGCAGTGAAACTGTTCTGGCTTTCAAACAAAGTTCTCAACTAAAACAAAACTTCTGTTTTTGCCAGAGGAAATGACTAGTTACCAGCTTATTCAGGAACAGATGGTTAAATATTGTAATAATGCTTTATTTATTATTATTATTAATAATAGGCTATTAAAGGAATATCTCCCTCAACAAAATGCGGTAACAAAATAGACAAAACCAACAATCAGCGTTTACTTTTATTTTAACTTAACAGAAAGTTGATAAACTAATTGAGGTTTAGTTTCATAAGAACTCTAACCTAGGTGATATTTTCAAAATTCAGACTTTCAAACATTTCTAATGAAAAGCGTTTAAATTTTCTCACCGTGAAGTTGATGATGTCCACCTTTCTTTTCATATGATGATTGGGGTTGGGGGTGGGGGGTGTTATTCTCTTTAGTTTTCTTGCCTTCTCATAGTGAGATTTCCTGTTTATGTGCTGCAGGACACTTAAAATAACTGGAAAACAAAACATCAGTCACCACTCGTTACAACCATGAATTCAGTTTAATGATTTTTTTTAATATATATAATTTACTTAGACTCAACATTTAGGAATCCCAGACTTGAACCATTTATTATTATTATTATTTTTATTAATCTACGTTTACAGCAACGTTTCAGTATCCTAATCCTAAATAACATTTATCACATTTGAAGACATTTTTTATTGCAGTTGACAAGAAAAGTTAGCAGGAGTGCTTAAAGTATTGCTACAGTTTCCATTTCCTAAAGCTTCCCTCTAAAGTTTCGCAAGCCAACAGTTTTCACTGGGATACTTTGGGTGATGCAGATTGGAGCACACGAGGCAGAGCAGACAAACAAAACATTTTTATCCCAACACAAACCTGCAACACTGTCAAAAAGGTTTTTTTTTTGCATACAACTTCTCATCTGTGCATGTGGTCCTTTTTGCTTCAATGCTGGTGTCTTTCATCACACTGTTTCCACTTCATTCAGATAGTGGTGAAATGCAGTCTTTTTAATGTGCACAAACTGCAATAGAAGCCATGAGTCAACGACTGTCCTGCTGTGCTCGGCATGTGAAAGTCAGTCCATTAAGACACTGAAAAGTTTCTGTTTTGCACAGTGTTGTGTAGATGATAAAATAATGAAGACATTTTCACTTATATTTCTCACCGCTTGTGTGCTTTGTGAGACTTTTATATACACGATCTGTGATGACTTGGGGATAATCAGAGGATCATCAGAAAAACAGTTTAGGGGATTTAAGAGACTTAGCACGGGTATTTCCTCTTGTTCTCTGTTTCTTATAAAGTCTAAGCTTGTGTTTCCTCTTAAAACGCTAAGAATAAACACCAAGAGCTGCATAGTGCATCTGTAGCCAATGATCTATGATTACCATTACTTCATAATCACTTCTGCTTTAAGACTTCCTGTAAGAACTACGTATTTCCTGTTCTTCTTATCACTCCTTATTTCTGTAAACCTGACACAATACAGACAAAAGCCAGCTGTGAAAATGTTTGCCAGAAACTGCAGACATTGTATCAACACTGTGGGCACCTTTTTCTTTTCATAGGCTACAAAAGCAAAAAATAAAAATAGAAAAAATTACAGTGGTACAATCCACTATACCTTTACAGCTACAGTATGGATACCAACTAACATCAGAGGCAACTACTACACCTAACTGCAGCAGGCATGTTTGTTAACGTTTGGATATGTAATGAATCCTTGCAGATGAACCATAAACTTAAGAGAGGTAGGGTTTTCAGTCCAATGTAGTGGATCTTATGACAGATGCAGGTATTTAGTCAGCTGCAGACTGGAGGATGCTGAAAGAAGTCCATGCTTGATGGAAACTGGAGAGGATGGAAACATATATTTTGCTACACGATGCGCCATTAAGAGCCATGTTCATGTTTTTATCATCCTGAAAAACCAGCTGGAGAAACACCAGCTGGTTTGGCTCTTGATGGCACGCGGTTGCCGGCCTCCGATTCACAGTGTGCTTCTTCCTGATTTGTCCTCGCTCTTTCAGCATTAATAAGGAGTGAAGAGGATTGGCCCGTGTGTGGTGCGGATGGGTCCTGGGGCTGGCCTCAGCAGGCTGAGGGGTGTTCCCTGTAGGAGGTGGTGATGAGGGTGAGGATGGGAGGCTGGGCCGGGAGGACGTAGTGCCAGCTGATTTGAGGACGCTGCTGCTGCCATTGCTGCAGCAACAGCCAGAGGATTTGGTAAAAGTCCAGCCCCTAGGGTTTTTGGAAGTTCCTTTAAAAAACAAACAAATAGAAAAACGACTTGTTGATCCTTTTAAGATTTAACCTAAATGAGGATGAATTTATGAGGGAGAAGTGCTGCATGTAAATAAAAATGAGCATGTACCATAAAGTCTGTGCGCTTCTTGTGCCGACTGAGAAGAGGATTAGGTTTCCCTGCGACTCCATCGCGGTGCCTCCGGCTAGATATATGCTGGAACATTAAATAAAAATAAAAAAATCAGATATGGGATTTCTCGTCATATAATCCACTCAGGATCTATTTTGAGCTTTTCTTCCTCACCTGTTTAAGCTGCAGCTCAGAGTTGACTCTGACGTTGCAGATCTCACAGTGGAAGGTTCGTTCCTGAGTGTTAGGGTCTGAGGAGAGCTCCCCTCCCTGCTCAGGGCTGGGTTTAGGACCCAAGCGTGGGTAAGCTTTAATCGGTCCCAGTCCACTTCGAGCCTCCAGAATAGTTTTGTGTTTGGTACCTGGGAACAACAAAAAGAATACTAGAGTGAGCATCTTCCAGGATTTTTTCCCCTTCAATGTTTTTCTCTGTTGCCTCTTTGTTGTTGTTGTTTGTCTGATGTTTCCACGAGCAAGAGTCTCCCATATGGATAAGAAGTTGTTCAAGTGGTTGAAATAAATAATAAGCTTTTTAAACTTCCAGAGGATTATGTAACAAGACTAAAAGCTCCAGAACAGCCAGTAAATGGACTTTATGATAGAGAATTGAGTGAGAAAATATTAAGTGTAGGTGCTGTGTGTTAAGGTTTTTATCAATTGCCATTTACCATGTTTTAATATGACGTTCTCACCACTAAGTGGCAGTAACGCAGCTGCTTCACGTCTTCAAACATAACACTCAGAACAAGTGAAGAATAACTTCTAAAGAGGCACGCTTCAATGTTTCTGAAGACGCTTTGAAAGCTGCACAATTTGTCCACTTCCCCTGGGACTAACCTTTGTTGTGTGCCTCCAGTTGTGAGAGGGAATTAACAGCCACTTTGCAAAGGGAGCAGTAGAGAAGCTTTTTGGCTTTCTCTTCCTCCGACTCTCCTGAAGATGGGCTGGGTGCTGGGGACGGGGTGTCAAGAAGACCAGCTGCTGCTGGTGCTGCTGAATCTGCAGAGGGTGTACTGAGGGCTGCAGAAGGGGAAGGAGACAGTGGCAAAGGCGTGTTGACAGAAGGCAAGAGGGGGCACTCTGTATCTGCTGAGCTTGGGGTGGAAGTAGGAAGGCAGCTGGGGGTTGACGGTGACTCTTTAGAGTTGGGACAGGACTGATTGTCATCTGAAAACAGCACAAAGATCTCTTGTTAGTGAATAATTTAGGAAAAAACAAAATCAGCAATAAAATGAACCTTCTGACTCTCCTGATGCGAAAATATATTATTTTAGATAAACCAGTTTGCCAATACTTTCACTTTACATTTCATGACAGGTTCCTGTATTTGAGAGGCGATGCTCACCCTGTTTATTGTTGTTAGGATCAGGCTCAGGGCTGGATGGTAAAGGGCCTGGAGGTGAGGGTGAAGCAGGAGGGGGATGGTGTTGCTTGTCACCATCTTGGAGACGGGTTGTTTTGGAAGTCTCGATACCCTTCACCCTTCGAGCATGACGGTTCCCTTTATAGTGGGCTTCTGCCTGGCTCTGAAAAACAAGAGTAAAGCACATGGCACTTTAACATGGCATGTTCATGTCCTTATTTCCAAATGCCCACCACCTTGGTTGTCTTTTCTCCATATTGAACCAAGCAGACTCTAATAGATCATCAAGTGAAGTGTCTACAAATAGTAACACACACATAATAAACCCTAATCAAACAAAAAAAAGAACATGTTACATGCATTTGACATCTTCATATAGGCTTATTAAATGTTATTTACCATCTTGCAATCCTGTACCCAATTTAAATCTTTGGTATGGAGGCTAGAAACATCTCAATCTTCTTTCAAGTTTCTGTATAAGTGCAGAAACATGCATAGTTTGAGGCTGAAGGAGTAATGCAGTGTCTGTTGAGCTGTTTTTTGTGACGGGTGATGGTGCACCACTGATGAGGCAGTCAGCAAAGATTAGTCTCCAGAATATTCTTGTCTTCCTTCAGCACTGCTGTAATCACAGCACTGGCCTGCTGAGCTGATGATGATTATTGAGCGGTGGGATAATCTGAAATGGGCTGGGGGGATGTGGGTGAGGTGTGACAGTTGACAGTCAGTTGCTGGGCGAAAAGTTTGTATCCACGAGTGTGCACTTAAGAGGATCAGTTCCAAGCTGATCCTCCAAGGGAGCCATTTAAAGATCTACTGTGGGGATGTCGGATTTTACATTTCAGTTTTCAAGATGCAACAGGAAACAAGTTATCTATTATAAGTCTGCCATTTCCTCACTTCCTCCCACCTACGAAGTGAAGGATTCCCTGGAAAACACACGGATTTAACATGTAAATGTGTGCACTTTCACAGCCATATCAGAGCTGCATTAAGGTTCCTTTTGCAGACATTTTATATGTCAGTTATATGGCTTCGTCACTGAGGCTTTTATTGCTAGAAGGTCCCAGAAAAGACAATATTTCATGAGCTTTCCACTTTCTACATTAGCCGTACTTATTTTAGTTGTAACTGTTTATTTTTTAGAGCATTGAAGTCACAGCTTATTCTTTTGAGCTTTCAGTGTAACCGGCAGCTATTCAGACCATAGCTTCCTGTTCTGTCTTCCAACTGTACAAGTTCCTGTACTAGAAACCTCTCTACAGATTTTGCATATTCATAAACATTATCTTTTTTTTGTGGTAGAGGTTAAGGTTTGCGGTTACAATTATTAAAAATATGTCCGCTGGGCACTAACCTCAATGCCCTTACTTTCTGCCTCATTACACAAAAGGTTTGCTGTGCTGGTATTTAACTTTGGCATTTGATGTAAATCATGTGGTGCATGATTTACATCCGAAAATATTCCCCGCTGATACGGAAATCAGCGTAAGCCTCCAAGTTCAGATATTACTGTCCATGTCACCATCAAGTGAAAGCAAAGGAAAGGGTGAGGTGTTAGGGTACAAATATAGTTCCTGTAAGCTCCTTATTAATATATGACACTGTGTGTGTGACTCTATGT